CATCGAAATTTCCATACAGTAAAAAGAAAATCATTGAGTATATATATCTGGAACACCGTTACATCATTGAAAAAACATGGACGTTTCGGCAAGTCCCCGACGATAGAGAGGAGTCCAGTAGTGATGAACAAGATAATAACATTAGTCAATCAAATGAAAATGACGTTGATGACGAAAATACTCCAGTTTTTTACAGAGTTGACACGACTGTTGGTGAAGTTCCTGACGCACAAGAAATACTTACTAATGAACCCCAACCATACGAAAACATTGAAGAATCGAATAGAACATCGAAATTTCCATACAGTAAAAAGAAAATCATTGAGTATATATATCCGGAACACCGTTACATCATTGAAAAAACATGGACGTTTCGGCAAGTCCCCGACGATAGAGAGGAGTCCAGTAGTGATGAACAAGATAATAACATTAGTCAATCAAATGAAAATGACGTTGATGACGAAAATACTCCAGTTTTTTACAGAGTTGACACGACAGTTGGTGAAGTTCCTGACGAACAAGAAATACTTACTAATGAAACTGAAACGTATGAAAACATTAACGAATCGAGTGGAAAATCGAACGTACCATACAGTCAAGTTGATGAACAAGATGATTTGATTTTTAGATCAGAAGATCCGGTTAAGAATATTAATATTCAGAAATTTTTAATAGGTGATAAGAATCATCCCGAATTTATGCTGAATAGAGAGGACATTACTGTTTTCGAAACTGAAACACCAATGTCGGAAGCACCCACTGCAGATCTGGATAAATATATTACTGATATGAATGATACTACCGGAATATATCCTGTACATGATGGAATAATGTTTAAACAATCACCAATGTCAATATCAGAAGAATATCCAACTATTCATTCGCATACGTTTGTAAGTAATAAAGAATCTAATGAGATGAGCGAGTTGCCGTTGATTGAAAAGGAAATGACTGAATATAACTATCCGTCAAAGCGTCACATGATTGATAAAACTGGGACTTATGGAAGTAGAGGTAAAGAGTTCAGGTGGAATAAGAAAGATGATAACATGGAGTCATCAGATGGATATGAGGCTGATGACGAAAACACTCCAGATTTTTATACAGTAGATACAACCACTGATAAACATTTCGACAAAGACGATGCATTTACTAATCGAACAGAAGATTCGATTAAGGAAATAGATATTCATCGTACCTTAATACGCGATAATGAATATGCAGATTCCAATCTCATTGGAGAAGCGGGTTACAATTCAGATATTGATTTTTCAAAATCTAATTTGATGATACAATCTAATAGAAACAGTATGTTGAATGATACGATACCAAATCAATATTTAATTCATGGTGTAAGGACTTTGCAATTACCTCCTGTAGTTTTTAAAGGAACTAGAACAATGGATTTGCCAAGTTCAGGAAGCAGTTTAGACACAAATTACACGAATGAAAATAAAATAAATTTCTCCCCGTATAGTGATAATAGAATTGAAGATGGAGAATCGAGTTATCATTATTATCCGAGAAAAATTCCAGAAATTCATTCTTATGGGAATAGTCAGATAGAGATAGGCCGTGGTCTCTTAAAGCCAGTTGCAAGTATTAAAAAACTATTTAGTCGTTCGGCAACTTTGAATACCGATGGACATTTGTTCGATAATTCACTACATACTAGTTTTTCACTTAGCGGAAAGAATATCAATCGAAATGTTGAAATTCATAGAAGTGCATCCGTGAAATGGCCTGCAAGTTCTATTGGTTATCATATATCTGATAGAAAGTTTGGTCGTATTGAAGGCGGTGGATCCTTTCGAATGAATTTAAATATAAGTGGAGAATCTTCACAGTCTGAAAATGATAACAGTAAATCTTTTATAACATCTCCATTTGAATATAGTGGTAACATTCATTATGACACACCTAGTAATCATATAGTTCATAGAGGAATTTTGCATTATATGCATCATCCAAAGAGAAAATTAATGAGTTTGGGTTTGAAGAAGATGTTATCGAAGCCATTTAAAGCGATCACATCACATGCCAATCATAATAAATCTCAGGGAGATGCTGAGGGAGAAAATCCAAAAATTTCATTAGCTAAAAGAATAGGTAAACGATTATTTTTGAAGAAGTATGCAAGTGGAAAGTCTTCTTCCTTTAAAGAAAAGCTACGCTCTCTATATCCCAAGTTAAAAACATTAGGTAGTAAGATAAAGCAGCATATCCATGATCCACATCCTGACACGAAGTCTCCTCCCGTTAAAATAATTGAAAAGTTAAAAAATAAATTGGACCATCGTCAGAATTCTAGCTTTACAACATTAAGTACAGAAAGTTCGCGATATACTCGACATCCATTAAAATACTTGAAAAACGTTGCTAATAAATTTGTCCGAAAATCTCATGTAGATGAACAATCTAAACCGCCGGGTCACGAGAAATTAAAAAATAATAAGAAGCTTATTAAAAAGGGTATCCATAAATTAAAAAAAATCTTTCACTGAAAATATCCAATTAAAATATTTTTATGAACTATTTGAATAATAAATTATAAATAGGATTGTGATTTCGAGAAGTCCATAAAATTACTCAATTACTGCAGCTTTGAAAAGAATTGCGCTATCCATTGAAATAGTAACAAGACAAGATATATAAACATTATTTTGAATTATTATTATTTGAAATTATTTTGAACCATTTTTAGTTTTCTAAAATTGCGGATTTCAGATAAACATTTGATTAGACATTTGATTTTTTTTAGTATTTGGAATTTCCAACTTTCTAGATTAACAAAACAACTTTTCATGGACATAACTTAATATCGTATAATTTTATTAATTGATAATAATCCGAAATACGGCATATATTCGTTATAAAACGTTATAAAACTTACTGTAAGCAAGGATGCTCAATAAATATATATATATATATATATATATTTTTTTTTCTCTCTTTAATATACAATTGCTCGAGATAAATGCTCGAACTTTTATAAAGTAAAGGGGATATTATTTACTTACAAGATAAATATATAATCTGATTTTATAAGTTATATATCTGATATTAAATAAATTTGACTTCATTCGCGAAATACTTAGCAAAGCATCCATAAATATTTAGTGAAGTAGTATATTTTATTCATAACAATTATTATATTTAAAAAATTATTTTATTAAAAATCGAATAATTATGTAATTTCTTATACTAAAATAAGTTTGAACTGCTAAAGTATATTAAATATTATAAAGACTATACTCCTCATATATTATAGAGGATAAACTACTTTTAAAATAGCTCTTTTCGTTAATGAGATATACATTGTTTATAATTAATAATAATAGAGACTACCTTAAATATGATTTATTTATATAATGTTGTGTAATCAGGAATAATATTTATTCCAAAAAAAATGATATCAAATGGTTGTTGCATTTAACGCTAAAAGGACTGATAAATTTAAAGTTTTTATGAAGTAAATATCCGTCAAAAAAGCAAATTTTTTTTATTTTTTTTTATTAAGTATTCAATATTTGCTTTCGAAAAATAGGTATTAAATATTTTTTTCAAAAATGTAGTTTTAATAGAATAATAGGAGTATGATAATTTGTTATTTAATATTATATTATTTGTTGGACAAGTTTTAACAAATGAGATGTACAGATAAGATAAATGAGAGATTTCAACAATGGTTATATTTTCTATTCTATCATAGTCGGTTATGTCATAATGATCATTTTGTATTCTATGATATCAAATATTATTGGAGCTTAAATAGTTTAAATATAGCATGTCATATTAAATTTGATAATACCAATCGAGAATTTGATATATTTTTAAAAAATTTGCAAATCTGACTTTTACAATTTTTTCATTACTAAATGATTAAGTTTACTAAATTTAAAAACACATTAAGTCGCTTCTTACGTTAAAAGTATTATAATAAGCTAATTAATTAAATTTCAAATTGGCTACTAATTTAGAGGATCAATTAGTAAAAAAGCCTTAATGTAGATGCCTTATTTTCATTAGATATTATAATTATATAAAAATTGTATTTAAGGTTTCATCGAGTCGGCTCTATTTTATTTGGTAATATGAATTGACATATTGACTTTTATTTTTATTTATAATTTATTGTATGAGAGATATTTATATAAACGCTAAGCTTAATATACTAAATAGAAGATAACAATATGAAAGGAATCATTGATAATTCTGACATTAAATAATAAATAATTAATAAATGTATCGAATTATTTATGCTACCAATATTAATAACTCGATCTTGAAGTGTTATAAGAATACTAATACAAATAATGTAAAAAACTTTCTGATTTATCTATTACTTTCATTAATATTAATGGTATTTGAAGGATCTCTGTGTTATAATTATTTACTTAAACAAAACGTACTATTTTAATTTATTGAAAATTTATTTTGATAAAATTAAAATTATTGTCAACGTTTTGATAAAAAGTTATATTAAGGTTAAATTTTATTACGATATCATCGAAAGGATGAGAAGTACTATTATGTTTTATATTCACATATATAGAATAAAAAATTTCCACTTGCAAAAATAATATACATATTTTTATAAAATTTGTCAATTTTTTATCGTCAATTATAGAAATTATTTAAAATTAGTATTTACTATTACGATATACAACTAATAATAAAAATTTCTAACGAGATTTTTCTAATAAATTAAGAGTTCATTTGATTTTTTTATTTTATTTTATATTGAAATTATTAGAATGTAACATGAATTGCATAGTTTAAATAATACTATTTCTTTTTATAAATTTTAAATGAATAAGTCATAATTGGCAATTGTACTAATAATAACCAGTATCAATATCGTTTAATAATTTATTGTTTATTTTCATAAAAATCGTTATATAAATAAAACATATTAATTGCCTAATCATAATTAGCTAAAATTATATAGAATAGTGGAATATTTTAAATATAGATCAAAAAAGTAAATTTAATAGATAAATTAATTGTATTCAATATTATAGTATTTACATATAATTATTTTTCTAATTCTCTTTAGATCGATTTTATGCCTCTCATTACTTTCCTTGTTTCAATATTTTAATTTCTAATCCAATCAAAGTTACTTTGCTTGTGCCACAATTACATAGCTCTTCCCGTGTTAAAGATAATAGTAAAAACAATAAGCAGAATAATAATAAAAATCTTGTAATAAAGTCTAATATAAAATCTCACAAAATAATTAATAATTATTTAACATGTCGTCAATGAAACAATTGTAATAAGCAACACCAGCATGAATATTGACTTTGTCAGGATTAAATTCATTCATCGTTGGACAATCTCCTATAGTTACGCCAATTAGAGTTTGGTGATAAAAAAATGGCGCACCACTATCACCCTGAAAATAAATATTATTTTACATTAAATATGCTGATAATAATAAAATATGTACACAAACATATTTACATATTGATGTTTTTACATGATTAAATAATTCATAAAAATATAATTTAAATTTAAATTAAAGCTATCAATTCTTAAGCCTTTAATGATATAATAAAAATGAAATAGATTGTGAAGAAATTTCAATAGTGTACGTAATTTTGTAAATGGTATTGAGTATTTTCTCTTTCCAAACGCACTTGCATGTGTACAAATTGAAAATAAATTAATACATAAATGAAAGCACCACAACATTTTTTGTGTTTTTATAAAATTTATGAAAATTGAAACGATACATAATGATTTAATACTTTTCCAATTATTAATCTAGCAATATCTAAATTATCAAAACACAATTAAAATTTATACTTATAGATATGAATAGATCATCTGTTCTGTGGTTATTTCTCATACGTTGGGTATACATTAAAGAAAATGATTTCAAAGTAAATACATTAATGGTCATGAATATTTGTTCTGTTTAAATCTTTGTTGAAATCCGTTGAATTTTTACAAATTTCCAATGCGATTTGCATTGTAATGCATAAATGTTTGATGTTTTTTAATTGCAGTGATATGTTCCGTGATAATAATTTGTCATTTTATAAGATTTTATTATAGAACTATTAATTATATTTCTTATATGTTTATTTTCATCAAAATGTAATGTTTTATTTGTCAGGAACCACTTATCAAGATTTTAACTTATTTTATAATATGTTATGTAATGTATTTTTAAAGGCTAATTAAATTATGTCTTATTGAACTACTTTCTAAATTACAATGAATACACTGAACAGTCAAATGATATATTCTGAATAAAATGTTTAAATTTATATAATTAAATTTATATTTATTTATTTATTTTATGAATCGAACATGTTTTATATTAAAATACTTACATCTGATTAAAGCAAAAATAATTAATAATATCAAAATTAATGTACTTTTGTTTTATAGATTAAATTTAATAGAATAAAACTTCAATTTTTTTCTTAGGCTTTGATTTACATAAAGTTATTCAAATTTTTCATTATTTAAAAAGTATTGATTTCATTTAATTATATTTTTATTATATAGAAAGAAATATTTTAAATATTTAAATATACTTTACGTAATATTTTATTCGTTTAGGCCAATACACTTTTCATTGTATCATTAAAAAATAGTTTGATATTTAATTTAATTGCGAATTGTACTTATTATTATAATTACTACAATAATACTTATAACTTATACTTTTTGTGATAAAATTTTGTGACTCTATTGTTTTGACTTTTAATTTTATAGTCTATAATGTTGCTTATGATTTATTAAGAGAATAAATCCTCAAAGGATCTAATATTTCAATTTTATTCATATACTTAAACTCATATACATAAACTATTCTATCATTAAATAACATAATAGAGTTACTCATGTAAGTAAAATTGGACCTTTTGTTTGATTTTTAAGATTTTAGAATAAAAGTTTGATTAATTTACGAAAACATATATTTATTATTTTCAGTAATTTTTTATTAAATTATTATTTTCTTAATGAAATTTTCTCAATGCTGTTAAATTAAAACATAATATATAATAAAATATAATTTAATATTTTTTATAAATGTTTTTTTAATTTAAATATCTAAATAATCTTGTACATATTATGATCAGTGTAATTTATTAGTATGCCGAATAGATATTCGTTAAATGCAATTTGAAAACATATTATATTGTTTTTTTTTCGATGTTTTGAAATTAATTACAATCGCAAATATATTTATTCATTACGATTATTAATTTGATAAGTCCAAAATGAATTTTAATTTATTTTATTTAGTTTATTTTTAAATAAAATTTGTCATATTTTCGTCAATTTTTACGAAGAATATGATGATTCCTATAGTTAATTAGTCAAATAAATTACAAAGGTAGTTTGTCTTGTTAAGTAAAAGTATAAGTTCTTATTAGTAAAGAAGTATAAGATGCGTACGATGTATTTTTCTTTGCAAATTAACTCATTATTTAAAATATTAATTATATTTCATTTAATTTTATCTTTATTATATTAATAAAATATATAAATGTTTTAATGTTTTGGTTTTCGTTTAAGGATTCTACGTAAATAAATTAGTTCTAATAAAAAGTGGCGATAATAAATTTATACTTCGTGCAGCCAAGAATGTAAGGCTTTTTTACAATGTACATATGTACTTATGTTATATAGGATTTTGACAACGCATATTGAAATCGACAAGCAAGATCACGGTCTTACAAGCTACGGTAATTAAATTAATACTTACATCATTAACATATGTATATGGATGTCCAACACTGCATATATATTTTTCCGGAACTTCTACATAAGTATCAAAGAGTCTTGTAATTATCTCGCTGCACTCATCATGTGGCAAAATTGTTAAAGATGCTGTCTGATGAATGACATTTATAAAGCTATTATTCCCTCTTCCACAGCCAACTACGTCAGCATTTCGTCCATATAATATGCTGTGTGGGCGAATGGTCGACAGCTGATTTATCGGAACATCGTTTATAAATCCCAATACCTACATTAAAATTTTTTGGTTAACTATGAATGAAACTTTACTATTCTAATAATATCCATAAACTTGTTGTATCCATTTAAAGTAAGAAAATAGTATTTGTAGATTATATATATATATTTTTTTTTTTTTAATTACATAAGCAAATGCTTTTATACAAATAATAATTTACCTTCAATACAGCTATATCATTTTCTACGCTGAGTAGACCATTCTGCATTAACGTCCATTGTGTAAAATTTATCCACCACCAAATATTGTATCTAGAACCAAGTCTTACATCGGATCCCAGAATTATTTCCAATCCTGCGGTTCCTGTATCCTCCAAACAGTGCTCAGCAGTTAAAATGTGGCTGGTAGAAATAAGCGTTCCAGTACAAACTAAATAATGAAAGTTATTCTCTTCATTAGATATTTGTTTCAAACATACCACGGATGGAAACTCATTTTCATGTACTGATCTAATATTGTAGCCAATTAATGCTTTTGCATTTGCAAATCTATATCGGTTACCTAATATTTGAAATATTCGTTTTAATAGAATTATATTATTATCTAAGCTTTATTATTTATATACATTTATACAGAATTTTTAAAGTAGTATGCATTATCACTTACATAATATTAGAAATTTGAGTAAAAATAAGAATTTATTTTGCATGTTGAAAAAAATAGTTCAAATTGAATGCATTCAATTCACACTTTGACTTTTCCTTTTTTAATGCACAAAATAATAAAAATATCTTATAAAATATGAAATCGATACATTTTATAGCGAATATATTAGAAATTATCGTATGTCGTGCGTATGAAATTCAACGTATAAAATGCACACAAATATTTTTATAATTCAATCTGTGATAAGAACCGTTATAATATTTTTATTTCTATTGTTTTAAGGGAACGTATAACTCATTTTTACGAATAAAATATAAATGAAATATTATGAAAAGCCGATGTGCATGGCATAATGAAATGATACAATAATTTTGACTCATCTATCCAACAAATAGGAACAATACAAATTATTAAAACAAACTATATGTTATTATTTAATATATCAGTATAATAGAATATTGCACTTCGATTAATCAAGGAATAGTAAATAAACGACACGAATTTTTTATACGATTTAAATTCTCTAATATTAATTTCAGAATTCTGTCTTTATTCGCTACGAATACGAATCTATGCAATTATATGTATAACAGTTATATCTTAATTTTATATAAAATTAATTTTGAATTAAACAATTTATTATAATTTAGTTAATAATTAATATTTTAAGTTTTAGTTAAATTAAAATCATTTGACTAATTTATTATTAAATATAATTACACTTAATTACTTAGAATTTTTAATTAGGATATTCATGAATTACATGTAGTATGAAACTAATCATCAATGAACATTGTAATATTTTTTACATTTTATATTTATTATTTATAAAAATATAATAATTTTAATGATTATATTCTTATTATTATTTATTATTTTGTAATAAATTAATATATATTTTTATAATTACGATCTCAAATAAGTAGCAAAACTATTAAATAATAAAGGCTACTGAATCTCGGTTATATTTATACAGCTTTCCATATAAATAAAGGATAATCGGTTAACAAACTGATTACGTAACTTTGTGCTAATTATAAGTACAATTGTGTGGTTTTGTAATGCCTATCGTCAGTCACTTGTTGGGTGTCCTCTGAATATATCAGCACGCAGGTATGAAATTTCCAAAAATGCAGGTGCATTGTACGAATACATTCAATATCGAAATAAAGAAAATTTAACTACCTCTTGTAAAATTAAAAATACTTCTTAATATATCTTATTTACTATAATTATATAGACGAAATATGCAAGTTTAGAACATTAATATCTTTAAAATAAATTAATGTAGGAATTGATGAAGTAAAATAAAAGTTTTGTTTGTTCATTTCAACAAAATATTTTTGTTACCCAATATATACACGCCGTTTTTCGGGATTAACTTCAACTTCCAAATGTTTATTTCTATTTATTAATACATTTAACAAAGTTTAAAAGCACTTTATAAACTGTTTTTTATTCAGCTTTCTGAAGTATTGTAACGTAATCCTTAATATAAATTATTTTCACAAATATAAAAAAGGATTTTTTCAATTTTTATTATATTGTACAAGTATTACAAAATATATTTAATTAAAAAAAAGTAATATTTATTAATATCTATTAATAATTTGCAGAGGTTAGGTTTAAATTTATTTCTTATTAATTATTTCATTATCTTTTCAGATATATCAGATGGATGATTACATATCATTTTATACATCTTCCTAACATACAATAGACAGCACTTTTCATTAAATATTATAAACTAAAATATTGAAGGGCTTCTAAATTAAAAAAAAAATAATGTATTTTAATTTTATAATTTTATCATTTTATTTTTGAAAATATATTTTATTATACAATTATATCAATGCTTATCAATATTTATCTGATGTTACTCAATGCTTTGAAATAATTTCTATTATTCATACTGTCAGTAAATATTCTAATATATACCTTATATAGAGTCTATATATTAACAATAATGATATATATTTTTTTAATAAAGCTTTTATTACTATAAAATAAAAAATTATCCATTAATAAAATTTAAATAAAATTTATAATTTATATTACTTGATGTTTAAAGCTAAATCTTTAAAAATCTTTATATACTGTTTTTTGAAAAAGTAGAATTAAATTAATTTAAATTAAAAAAAAATTAAAAAAAATTGAATTACAAGTCAAATTATTTATTTATTTATTCAATTGAAAAAAATTCTTGAATTGATTTTTAATAAGTGAAAAAGAACAGATTTAAAAATTTAGGCAAAATAAAGTCGAAAGGCGAAATATAAAATTGAATTTATTGATAACTTTTTTCTTCACTTTTACACGTAATTTAATTTTTCAATTTTCAACAAATCGATGAAAATCAACCAAATTTTAACCACCAATATGAATTCGAATGACAAACAGTAAAACTTGTTAGATAATAGAAGCTCGATCGTTCAATTTATCAAATCTTCATTCATTTTTTCCTTTCTAATTAGTTTCAGTTAATTTCCGAATTTATGTATTTAGAAATATTATTAGTTACATATATGATTATTTCATATTATTAAAATTTTTTAAATTAAATATTTATTTTTAAACTTTTAGAATTTATTATTGCTTGTGAAAAAGGACAAAAACCAATGAATGTTACTTACGACCAGTAATAATAAGAAAATGTCTAATGAAACGAAAAAAAGATGTTCTACTAAAAATTGTAACTATATAAATAAAAAAAATTAAATAATGTAAAACCGAATAACACAATGAATTAAATACGAAAAAGCTTATTATATCATTTTCAATTACATTTGCACACGTTTCTCGCAACAATTGTTTAAACATTCAATAAAACGTCTTTGTAAACGTATTGATTGATAATTTATATTTAAAGATTTAAAGTACGTTAAATCACATATTTTTTTCCATTTTAATTTGAATAGCATAATGTACATCAAATTCTTTATCTTTGTACATCATACGAAGTATTATTATAATTATAAGTAATTCTCTTTACTTTAATTCGAATTGCTTCAACTAATTATAAAATAAATAAAACTCAATAATCACGATTAATTAATTGTATTATATAAGACTCAATTTATTAAAAATATATGCTTTCGATATATATCCTTGTTATATATTTTTGAATTATTATTAAATAGTTATAAATATTTTACATAAATTCGAAAAATAATTCCAATTATAATTTTATTTTGATTTTGATAAGTGGTTGAATAATTTTGAATTGCATTTATTTAGTTTTTATTGAATTTTTAATTGAAATTGAAATATCACTAATGATCATAAAATAAAAAACATATTTATAATTGAAAATGATGATGAAAATGATTTAAAAATGATATTTATTGTAAATTTTAATAATAGTAACAAAATATACAGTAATTTTATTTGTTTCAGAAATATATAATAAAATTATATTATATTACTGTAAATGAACACTTATACATATTTTTATATAACTATTATTAAACTAAGGATATTAATTAAAGAAATTAATTATATTTAATAATATAAAATAAATATTACTCTTATTTTCATTTAAAGATTATATATATCTTAAACAAATCTAAAAATTATTCTTTGAGCTTCATAAATTTGTAAAATAAATTTTGTAATCAATGGTTTTGACGACACAGAATGTAAAGAGTAAATACAAGTATTTTGATTATTTAATAAAGGAGTCAATATGAATTTAATTAGAGTAACATATAAGTTATAAAATTATTATTTTCATCATTACATGTATTAGAATATAAGAAATCACTAATAAATATATGTAAAATTGAAACTTTTGGAAACTACAGAAATATATAAACTGAAATATTTTCAAAATTACTTTTTTATATATATCGATTTATAATTACATATATTCTTTGAATTGAATCAATTCGCGTCTTCCAGCATACCAAATTTATAATTTAAAAAACATGTAAAATTCATATTAATTTTGAAAAGACACGTTTTGAAATTTCATCACGAATCTTTAATATAATTTGTTTCATAGTTATACATATTAGTTTTCATTTAGTGGTTGTCTGACAATAGTATTTAATTATACTTTTGATTGTAAATGTAATATGGCAATTAGTATTTGTTCTTTGTCATATTGAAATCTGATATGCCTAATCGACTTATTTGCTTTGTATCGCAATCCGATGCACTTACGAACATTAAATAGTGTAGTTGTGTCTTGATGTAATATACTATTGTCATATAATGTCGTTATAAGTTCCATCTCGATGACGCATCATATTTCATAGGTGTATATGGAATCAACATAGTGATTATAAATGAATTTATTTTTTGGATGTATTAACAACTTTTTCAATTTTGCAATACGATAACGTTCTGCAAAAATATTATTAAATTGTGATTTATGTTATACTATTAACTAGAAAAATTTCTTAGCTTTACAATTTAAGCAAGAAATATAATTATTTATAAGATTTTATCGTTAAAATAGCTTAGTTATTATTTTGTACTATTTTTAGACACATCAATTTGCTGCTTAATTAAATGATGGGTTAAATTTATAATACACGTAAAAAAAGATGCACTAGAAAATTTTTTTTTAAATATATGAAATATTTACATATTATTACAAGTTTATATATATTTCATATTTTTAAAATTATTCGTGTCTGTTAACTAATTTTTTTTTTTATAGAGAAATCTTTAATTTCTTCAAAATATAATATTTAACTCTCTACATAATTCACTCATCTATTGACTTCCATTATTATTTTTAAATTTTATTTTTATTATATTCCTATAAGCAAATATATAACGTAAGAATAAATAATAAATAATATTATTTGGTTGAAGTTAACTTAATACTTGCATCGTTATTTTAATTTATGTAGTATAAAATTATTAATGTTTAACTGCTTTTTCTGCGATGTTTAAATAGTTGGTCATATGCAGTCATAGAATAACTTAATTTTGATAAGCTATCATATTATTACGTCCTATTATTATTATTATATTAACATATTATTTTAGCATGTTTATTATTCATCAAATTGTAAATTTTAATTCATTTTTACAAACTATTTTCTTAATCGACAACTATACTTTAATAATATTACCAAGAAAAATAGTTGCAGAATTAGAAATAAAATAATAGTAAGGAAAGTTTGAATTATAAGAAATGAATGAAGCAAAATTTCGAGTCTCTTTTACAAAATAATAAAGTTAAACGAGGAATTATATTAACATATTCATATACCCTTTGATTTGTATTTCGTTTGTAATTTTTCACAATTTGGTAGACTTTAGCTGTAGATAAAAATATTTTATAGGTAATACAAGTCGAAGAAGTTTTGGAAATATATTATCATTAGTTTGTATATGCGTTCAAAGTTGTAATATAGTTATTTTTCTGCGTTCTAACATTCGTGTATATTTTGCTTATATATAATATTATTATAATATATTTGTATTATATAATGTATATTTTAATCGGTGATATGAATTTTTAAATCATTTAAAACAATATTTGTTTAGTTTTTGTTTAATATTTCTTAGCCCGTATTCACATATTAAGAAATGTGAATTTATCGTACAAAATATTTGACAATTGTTATCTATTAACATAAATTACTTTTCAAAATATCAGGAAAAATAAAAAAAAACACGAATAATAACATTAAAATTTTTAAAGTTTAATAATAACAAATTTTTTTAAATGCCCACATAAAAATATAATATGTAACATAATGTAAAATTCTAAATTGTTAAAAATATATATTAAAAAAGAACTAATTTTTTAATATAAATTTTAAAACATTGTACAATACTCGCAAGTAAGATGCTGTTTAACTAAGATTTTAATTTTACATATGGAAATTCTTTATAAGTCTATCGATTAAATGATACTTGTTTTACAAAAAAATCCAGCCTACAATGTCAAGATTCAAACGACTGCGTAATATAATTACATTATTTGTAGATATAACAATCTTTGATATATTAAGTATTTAAATATTATTACTTACCTCAACGTATATTTTTTTACGCAAAATCTATCATAAATATTAGAATTTCAGTGATATAGTTAAAAATAATGTTTACAATGAAAATAATAATTTTTGAAACTTTCTAACAATAAAATACATTAATGTAAATTCTCTAGCCGTTTAATAATTATGTATAAAATACAATAAATAAAACATTAAAAAGCGGTAAATGAAACTTAAAACGTTTCAAGAGAATATCAGCTTTAGATATCGTTTTTTATGTGTAAGAAGACATTAATTTCTATGGATTTAATTACAAGCACAATTAGTATGTGTACAGCTAACACCAATTTTCATTTATATCTTAAATATTGTTGTATATATAATATGATTTCTAGTTGGATATTATTGAATTATTTTTTAATTAAGAACGATAATTATGTCATTATATGTTATTAAGATATAAAGTATTTTGTTAAGATTGTTACTTATTATGTAAAACGTAATTATATTAGTTATTGTTACTTTCTTTGTTATTAATATTTCATATTTAAGAGATAATATTATTTTTGTCCAAGAACATTTTTTAATTTTAATGGTGAATATTAAAATATAGTATATCAATTGTGGTAAGTAAACTTTTTTACCTCATATTTTTTAATATATTGTTAGCAAATCTTCATTGAGTACTTGAAATTTCAAGAGAAGTTTTAAAATTATTTATTATGTAGATAATTTTTTTTAAAAAATAATTTTATTATTTTTATGAATTTTTTTTATTTTAACATTCGCTACGTAACCATTTTTTTTTTGAAAAATTATTTTTTCTAAAATATTTATTTGTCCTTAGATTTATAAAGTTTTTTTTTATTTTTAATTTAATGAACCAAATACTAATAAAACTCTTTTCAAAGCAACTGAAATTACTATTAATCAGATTGAGTACTCATATTATTGACATTTTATATATTTAATAGATCATTTTCATTATTTAGTTTATATTAGAAATTTTAATATGGTGTTATATATACGTATGCTAATATATTATTTGTTATTTATATTGTTATATAAATAAAAATTAGGTTTGAATTATTTTTGCAAATACAATTTTTCATATTTGATGAAAATATAAATGAATAATAACAAATTATATGAATATTATTAATCTTCTAACTTCTTTGTGATTGAAATTACATTTTACATGATATATTAATATTATTCTTAGACTCTCATATTTTTTCCTAATACTATATTTCCATTTTTTTTAAATATTTGTACTATTAATAAAACACCATACTATAAAATAAGGTTCGAATTTAGTTCAAATATACTAAACATCAAAAGTAATATGTGTAAGATTTTTATTCTCATTTTGAATTTATCTTATTTTACTTTCTTTTCTCTATGAATATTTATTCCATTTATATAAAATAGCTTTATTTAATATGCATAAATTATAAATAATGTTAAATTTGAATAATTTATTGATTTTCAATTCGATCTTTAGTAAATATTACACTGATAAATTTATGTAAGAATATATTAAATGCCTATTGTATTATAATAACATATGTTAACATAAATCTTTTAATTACTTAGTATGAATTGAATGTAATTGAACAAGCAATGGATTTATATAGATTATGAGGAAACTTATCAAATAATTTAAAATATATTAATTATATATCGATGGGGAGTATTCCCCTAAGAATTTTAATTTTAAGCTGTTGTAAGTGCCTTCGTTATGTACTTCATAGATTTATACTGTCCATATAAGATTACAGCAGATTTTAAGAAAGTAGATTTTTAAATAATATACAACTGTATACTAAAATTTATATATTTGCATATTATAATGCTTAGTAACTAATTAAAAATATTCTTTGAGTAATGCATATATTTTGTATTGAATGCCTTTTACATTACCAACGATAATTGCATACCTCCCACTTTATCGGTAATTTATTTGTCATAATATTTATTATATTCATTATTGATTAAGCATTAAAAATGTAAGAGTTACAATTTCGTTCATCTCATTCATATAGTCTGTGTTATAACCAAGCATATTAGAGTATCACCAAATTTTATCTTTGCATAAAATATTTAAAACTCAAAAAATTGTTACAGATATTTAACGAAACGCGTAAAAAGTCTGAAAATAGATTTGCTCTTATTTAACACTAAAAAAAATTAGTGTAGTCTATCTTACACAAAATACCAAATTGTACATAATTAATTCTAAAAAATTTTCTTAAAACTTAAAAAATGGAATATATAAACTTCGAAAGTAGGTTATTGATATAATAGAATGAGTACAACGTACTATTCTACTTGCAATAGTGTTTGTAAAAGAGATTCTTCAACTAGAGCTTATTGTAATTGGTATATAGTAATTGGCTTTTCAGATTAATTATTATGAAATCATAATGTTTGTGTTATTAGATTTTATTAATTACAATCATGCTATAATAGTTTTAAAAATTATGAAATATTAAATTTATTTATTTGTTTTTGTACAATTAGACAAATGTTAAAAAATCTAAAATAAAATATCTTTGCATCGGCTAATTGTTCTAATATATATTAAATTTTCTATTCTTACATCAAAATATTTTTCATTATTTTTCTTAAGATATGAGTTAAAAAATTAAAAATTAGAATTTAATATTGAAATAATAAGATAATAATAATATAGCAGTAACTCTTGTAAATCTTTAAATAATTTGTAACTATTCTGGATTCCGTTATCAGAAGCTTAATAAATATATGATAATTAGGTAAATTAATTCTTAAATTTTATGTGCTTTTTCAAATTCATAATTTAAGAATTAATACATGATAATATTATACATATTTAAAAAGAAAAATTTGCAAGGTGTAGGTGTCAGTCTTGATAAAAAATTGATGTAAGTAGAAGATGTTTAAGATTCATATAAAGCAGTTTGACGATAATTGAAATTTCAAGAAATGGTACAACGAACTATATTTCTTTGAAAGATACATAAGCTGTTAATATTATTTTCTATTACGGAAACAAAATTTGTATAAATTAACCTCTAATTTGTCTCATCTAGTGTACTATATGAATTCATAATTATTTACAAATAGCTCAGATGTAGAATACGATAATTGCTTATCCTTATATTTATTTTTTACGGTATATTAATTTCCTATCTCCTCCTTTTTTTATTCTAAATTGTATATTATATTTTTTGTTCACTGTAGTCTATAAAAATCAAATAAATAAAACAGGATTTTACACAAGAATAATTTGCGAGTATTTTCATTTAAATAGATAGTTTTTAATTTATGTTCTAATTATGATAATTTATAATTAATAATTAAATAAATTATGGATTTTAAAAGTATAATAATAAAATTAACTGTATTGATAATTGTAATATATTTATGACATTTTCAAAATACAGCTATTTTCAACAAAAATTAAAATTTATATAAATATATATATTTATTACAATAATTCAAAAAGAAATATTAATAGACAAAAACTGCAAGTTTATAATATAAAGGAAATTAAAAGAATGGAAACATCAATTTATAATATAATATTAAATTTATTATGTTTAATATATTTAAATCTCTTTAAGTATTTTAAAATTCATTAAAAGAATAATTTTTTTCATTGAATTATTCTTTCAGAGTTTTAAGAATGCATTGCAGCAGAAATTTAAAACAATAAAAGGTCTTATAGAATTTTAAAAGATTATTTTACTTAAAGAAATTATTGGAAAATACTAAAGTTATAAATTCTTTTTAAATCATACGTGTAGGAAATTTTTTCATTCTCAATAATATTAAATTTAAATTTTCAAGTGATAGTACTTGACATTACATTATAAAAATTTATTTTCAATAAGTTAAATGTCTTAATTCAGTTTATATAAATACTTCGATTTCCAATTTTATAATTTTGTTGAATTTTTAAAATTAATTTAATTTTAATATTTCTTATTTGTTAGTTGAAAGCCGTTTTAATAAATCAACGTCGTTTACTAGAATGCGTGTATATGGAATTTTCAATGATTTAAGTTTCAAATAAATAAACTTATTTACATTTATTTAGATATTAATTTATCTATTATGTGATATTATTTCCTATTATCTCACTACGGTTAGTTAATCAAGCACATCAATGATCAACAATTATGATAATTCGATCGATGATTGAGCTATTGTAATTTTAAAAATAATTTGTAACTCATGGTACCTTTAAAATTTATTTATAATAGCTTCTTCTTTTTTACATTTTATATTATTAAGTGAATACAATAAATAAATAAATATAAAGTTTATAAAAAATATCTTCTCGTACTACAGTAGATTTATATAATAATAAAAAATTTACTATATCTCGTACATATTATTTAATTTTTAATATACAAAAGAAATTATATCAATCTTAAACAACAACAAATTTAATTTAAAAAATTAAAAGAAAACTGAATTAAATCGGAACCATTTATTTAATGGAAAAATTGATTTATTATTTTTCAAATTTCAAATAATTAAGTGATTTTTATAATTGTGTGAAGCCATGTATTAATAAAATAATTATGGTATTTAAGACACGCAATACTATACAACGTTACAAAATATCATAAGAATATATTATGAAATTTTGGAATTCATTGGGAATAATGAAAATAGATAAAGAGTAAAAATATTTTTTTTAATTCATATATATTATATGTATGAAACAATAATACAATTACAATGTGTTTTAGATGGAGTAATTAAAGTATCTTAACACGTCTCAAGTTAGAAATAAGTTGAAGTAGAATGTTAAATAAAATTCTAAAACTTATCATAAAAAGTTTTTGACAACGCTGTTACAGTTTATTGCTTTAGTATTAAAAGAGATACTATTTATTTTGAATTTCAATCATCAGAAAATGAAGTAAAGGTAATTTCATTAACTAATACAAAATACTTTTACGAATGACTCACTTACACAGTTAGCCGATTTTAATTGAATTTTAATGCTTTTCTCTTAACTATGTACTTACGAAATAAGTACATCAAATTTAATTTGTAGAAGAAAGTGAAGCTGTAATTATATGATTGAGAGTATATAGAGACTTAAGTATAATATGCTTGTGACTATTGTGACGTAATTAAAATTTTTATTTAAAAAATATTCTATTTTAACGTCTCTTTTTTATTAAAACAATTAGACCCATTTCAAATAACTGTATTGCCAGTCAATTTACATAAAGAAATATAATTTTTTTATTGGCATTTAAAGTTATAAATTTTATTGTCGTAATTTTAGAAAAGGCATCGAGTTCTTTAAAGATACGTGTTAAATTATTTCAATAATATCTAGTTTTTAACAATAATAAATAATGGAATTATAAAAATTAGATAAAACAATTTTAAACCTTAGTTTAATATTAGAAAAACATAAAATCAAATTAACTAAACATATTTTATTGAGAAAATAAAATATTAGAAAATTTTTTAGCCCTTTATATTAAATTAGAAGGATCTTAAATTAAGACTTCGATATTACTAAACAAGTAACTTTAATTTAGCTATTTTTTAAGAGCGGCTATGTGACTTTTATATTAATTCTTGTATAATCTTTTTTTGATATCGTACAAGTAAGAAGAGACGATGAACTTTACCGATCAATACCTTTTCTCAAATACGTACATGTAATTATACTTTCACTTATTATATTTTCATACATATAATATATTATTTATCGCATTTGTCCATAATTTTCTATTATATTTGGTACAAACGAAAACGATGTTTCAGCCTCTAGTATGAGCTAAATTCACATTTTTTCACGATCCACAAAACTTTGAGTCAGCATGAGCATCGCAGCTAAGCAAAAATTCTTATAGCTGTGAGAGTGCGTACGCACAAATGTTTAAATATATACATGCACGATTGTAAAGTAAAAAAGCTGTAAATTTTGTACATAATGACTTTTGTATGAATTGTATTGAATCAAGTTATCTCAAATTTTATTATTTATCATGGACAATTTAATGAAAATTTAGTTTGTATATATTGTCTGCAGAATGGTGTGCATAAGCCCATGTAAATATATTTAAAAACAACTATAACAAAATTAATAAATCAACAATGTATAAGTAATTTAATGTTTAAAAAGAAAATGAATGAATGAATTTTATTTCAATGAAATTATTAATGTATAATAATTATAACCAATAATATATGTAGGTATTATAAGAACTCGCTCAACGAAAAATATATGTATTATTATTTATATGTATAACATAAAATAACTATGTAATATTTTCAATTTTGTGGAGATATAAATATATAAATTTTAATAATAATTATAATAACAATAAGAATAAATTAAAATAAACTATTTAGTTTTTATTTAATAAAGGTTATAGATATTACTATGAAGGATCTTTTATTATATAATTATCAAGTTCATAATATTTTTAATAAAAATGAAATGAGCTTCAACTTCATAGACGCACGTGCACCTACGTACACGTTTTAATTTCTTCGCGATTTATAAGATTTTCATTCTGGGTATGTAAATAGTTTGATATAAAAATTATTATTCAATCATAAAATGTTATAAATTCATCTTCAATATACTTCATTCATCCTTCTTATAATAAATCATAATAAGAAATTTATCTCTTATTGAATTACAAACCGAACGTGCCAAGGCCATTAAAGAAGTCGAACTACCGATTATTTATTCACCGATTCAAATAATATAATTCAAAATTTTAAGTCACAGTAAAATCGCCTGTCATTGAATACACTTTAAAGTTTTCTTTAATGAGGAATAAAAAAATTATATAACATCTTTGTGTCGGTGTTCTATCAAATATATCTACTAATTAAGTTGTGAGATTTCACCTATATTACGTATTAAAGACTTCAAGATAAGAAGTTTCATTTATGATGATATACAAAAATAAAACATTAAAATCTTATTAGAAATAAAACAAATAATTCGGAGTTAGAAGTAAACATTTATTGTTTAAAAATCATGAAAGATATAAAATTAATGATCTTAGTAATTATAATTTTTATTAGTATTGAAAATACTTCATTGCAGTTGTTTGACTTTAGACCATTGAGTATTATAGGGGAACAAATAGGCACTTCAAATAATTTTGAAGATATTACTATTCATTTTGTAAGTATATATAATCTAATTAAATTTCCACTAAGTACAATATTAAAAAGTAACAAATTTTCAATAAAAATTCAATAAAAATAATAAAATACCGCATGCAAATAGATGTTCTATTGTATCGTTTCATTCGTTTGATCAAATAAAATATTTTTTTCTTACTTTCTATTTTCTTTCTTTCTTAATATTGTAATATTAATATTATAATTTCATAATATATATTCTGTTTATACATTTTTTTTATTTATTTATTTGGATTTATATAAATGATATTTTAAGAACAATGAATAATTCATATTATAAGTAATGACCAGTTGAACATAAAAGTAAATGAATATAGAATCTAACACAGAAAAACAAGCTTGATGTTTGCTTAATGTTTCTTTAATGATTGTTACAAAATATTTGTATCGGCTGATCACGTTTTTCAGTATTTTATAAGAGATTATCGGCTGTCGTAGAATAACATAAAACTAGATGAATATTTGTAGAAGAAAAGAATCGTGTCTAGTAGAGTATAGTAAAAAGAAAAAAGTATTTCTTATAAAAGTAGACAACTACGATATAAAATCATAAAGGGGCCGAATTTGTGAATTTGTAATCCAGATTGCTTATTATATCATTATTTTAGAAAGCTTTGATACAAAAATTATGGTACTTTAAACAAGTAATATAGATGTCTTTTTTATGTCACATTTGCTATCACACAACTAATTTTTAATATCGACTTGTATACCTCAGTAAATAGTGATACTATAAGACAATGGTTATCGTTATTTATGATTTATATATCGGCTACATTTCTTTAATCTTCAGGTTTAAAGAAATTACAAAAATCTTTCATACATTATATGCATTTTATGGTTGCATATTCCCAAGCTGCATTGTTATACGATGTAATTACATAGCCTACAGATTCCATAAAGAGTGGATAATTGCTTTTATAGCTAAAGTTAATCTTTTCTTTCACTATCAGGATACAAAGAAATATACGCAAATGGTTTTTTCCAGCTTCTATAATATGCTGTACATTTCATAAATACATTTGACTGTTAGAGGCAAATGACATTATTACTACCACATTGATTCTTTAAAATACGATGCAATTTATTTTCTCTACGTAAATTAATTAACAGTTTACTATAAGAATTATTAAATTGCGAAATTAATTTTTTCAACGTTATCCATTATCTACATAATTAATTGAAATATAACGTTTACATCTAAATTAATCATTTAAAAATTCTTACGTGTCCTTTTGTATAAATATCTGTACAATAAACACCAATTATAAATTAAAAAATATGAATTATAATTCCATTAATTTTCTTCACTATATAAAATATACTTTAGATTTGCTTTTTAATAATTTTATTAACTTTTATACGAAAAAAAGTGTGAGGTAACAATTTTCAATTGGAATAAAATTGAAGCAATTACATATAAATTAAATAATAACTTTACCCATAATTATATTATATAAAAATACTATAAAATTAAAATTTTTATTCAATAATATAAATTAAATATATTTATTTATTTAATTATATATATTTATGTCTAGAAGCAAAAATTGATTAAAACAGCTAGGGCAATAGATAATGAATATCTGGAAAAGTAGTCAATTAAACTTGTTAAAATTATTTATTGAATATTTTCAAAGAAATATATATTATTTATTATTTTTAATCGTCTATAAACAATACATTGTCTATAAAATATCTTAAATAAATTATAATAGTTAAAAATATTATACATTAAGCGGAATGAAGAGTCGGAACGATCAATCAGCTAATTACTAATTGCTTTGTCATCTATGTTTCTAGATTTTATAATCAAAGTTTACAATCAAATCAATGCATTAGCAGATTCAATTGAATAAAATCTTTTGATAGAATTTCTTATAATTAATTAGTACACATTGGTAACTGCCTAATTTAAATGTTTAATTAAATGAATTCTACAACACAAAGGGAAAATTAATTTTCGTATATAAATCAATATGTCATACATTAGATAAATAATTGTAAAACGTAAAATGTATATTAATAGTTATTGTTATAGATTAAAGCGACAGAAAAATCAGTAATTAAATATGAATGTTGACTTCCTTCCTTGATTAATTAATTGTATTAACGAAATACAGATCAACTGTAGATAGCGAATTTTAATTTACATTAATTTAACAATAAAACAGATTGATCTTGCTGGAAAATATGGTTTTCCAGCTGAGGAGCACCAATTAGAAACCGATGACTTCTACAGATTGCGGATCCATCGGATTCCAGGTAGTCCATCAAGTCCAAAAGCATCAGGAAAGCCGATCGTTTTCATTCAGCACGGAATGCTCGGTATTTCTAGTATGTTTGTTCTAGGAGGCCCAAATAAGGATCTTGGTAAAATAGATCTTTATTAATCATTTCGTAATGTAATAAACACTTAGTATACAATAATTTCAAAACCCCTTTTAACATATGGTGAATAATAAATTTTAAGATTTTAAATTAGTAATTGTCTTAGATAAAAACTAATTACAATTATTATCAAATAAATTGTAATCTGTAATATTATTTATAATTTAGTTATACATTTGTTTTTAAGCAATGTGAATTTATAATTCCATATATGTACAGAATAAAACTATAATAAAAGATACATTTTTACATCAAGATAATTATTACGCACATTCAAATTTATTTACATTTGTTTTCATTCATTGTTTTAATTCTCGCTATTGATAAGCACCGTTAATAATTATTTTACATTCATTTTCAGCTTTTATATTAGCCGATGCTGGATATGACGTTTGGTTGGGTAACACACGTGGGAATACGTATTCTAGATCTCATGCAACACTATCACCAGATCGTGACTCTCAATTTTGGGAATTCAGGTAATTGTATAATTTTAGTCGATATATATATATCTATAATATACATTATAGCTTCATTTAATTAATGAGTCAAAACTTTGTTATTATTTGATATAAAATTTTGTAACTTTTTTTAAATTATTTGATTTTTTAAACTTCACTTTGATTGATCTTTAATATAAAAATACATAGATAAATAAATAATTGATACTTCACCACATAATATAAATGAAAAAATACATTTGTATGTGAGATTTTTTATTTGTTAAAATTATTCTATTTAATCAGAATAAATTTTTCATATTACAAGAATTAATGACAGTTTTAAGAAAATATTTAAAAAGAGGTAATTACATTCATATAACAATTTGTAACATAATAATGCGTAATATAAATATTTAGAATAATTATATATTTATAAAATATATAATTTATAAGAAGAAAGACTTTGAAAATAGTACACCACACTATATTAACATGATAGAGTTAAATAGTTTGGAAGTTTTACAAGTACTGAGGCAACATTACAAGTATAAAGGTTTATTTACATTCAATGATGAAGAAATATTGAAAAATAAAGTCCATAAAATTATACAAAACTGATAAAGTAGTGATCACTCAGCAGTGACTCAGTACATAGTGTCAGATATTCCTCCGAGTCAGTTACTCGTCCTAGCCAATCATTAAACGGAGTCTATACAGAGAGACTCACACAAACACGCTCTATCAGTGAAGCCATTGCAAGGAACACACGTTCAATTCTCCAGTACGCGAATGTAAAAAGTAGCACGTATGGATACAAAAAAAATTCTGTCCTTCGATTGGTTGTTAAAAATAAATTGTTAAAAACAAATTTTGATTAAAGGTTTTGTACGTATTTGAAATTATATTTATAGCTACGTTATTGAATAATTGATTTAATTTATTAATTATTCATTGAATATTGAATTATGTAAATATAAATAATTATGGGGGCAATTATGAATTTATCATATATAAAGATTTAATACAACTACAATTGAATAAAGATTATCATAAATTGACGTAATAAAACGTTGCAGGAATTTTATAATAGTGTAGTAGGAAGAAAAAAATATATAAACTATATCATTTTGTATAAAAAATCGATTATATATTTAAAATTTATTTTTGGATTTAATCATATTATGAAAAATATGAAACTAATTTTTTAAATTTCAAATTATAATTTGAAGTCTATATTATTGAAGGAAGCTTTAAGTAATTGAATTACATATGCACAATGGAAAAGACAACGACTGCAAATCATTTGAAATGCCGACTAAGACTGAAGTATAAAAATGATTTATAACAATCAGCTATGGATAGCTTTTTTTAGGTTGACATTGTAAGAACGCATAATTTTTAGTAAAAGTTAAAAACTTCCCTTGAAGTCTATCAAATTCCTTTTTATAATTTATAAAATTTCATAATATATAGAGCTCAAACAGTTTCATCTTACATTTCTATTTTTCTTTTTCTTAACTCTCTCTTTCTCTCTCTCTCTCTCTCTCTCTCTCTCTCTCTCTCTCTATTTAGCTGATTCATCCCTATAAGCAACTTTAAACAACAGAAATAGGGAAATATTCAAGGATATATCAGAAAAATTATTATATATATATTCATGATTGTGTACATAAGTATTTAATTAAAGAATTTAATTAGCGAATTTTAATTAGTGAAACAAAATGAGATGATCGAAGTATCAACTCCGACGTCTTAAAAGCTAGATAATTGCTTCCATAGTTTATAATTGACGAGCACGCTTAGGTCGATTACTATGGAAAAGGTACATTGGTGCCTAAAACAATGTTCGCAATAAATTAATCTATTGCTATACAAAATTATTGATCATCACCAAAGAGGCGAAGTACTTAATGCCTTTTTGATTTATAAATCCGAATCTTTTTGAGGAATTCGGTGTACATTACTTTATCCTCTTGAAAAAGAATCAAATTTCAATTTTCAAATTTCAAATAAGTAATAATCCAACCTTGTTACATTTATTTTATTTCAATCTTTATTATATAATTAATAAATTTAATTATTAATAATTATTGAAACTATTTTACATTAATGAAAATAATTCTAAAATAAGGTAAATTTATTCATTATGCAAATTTTATAAACCCTATTTAAGATATCATTGATAATATATCGATTAAGAAACATTTTAGCAAATAAAATAATACGTAAAATAATATTGCGTGTAAGCATTTATTAAATTATTTACCGAAAATGAGATTCAATAAAATTTAAATAATCGTATTTATTTTTCATGATTCTAGATAATTGAAAATCAATTTCTTTGTTTTCGACTGGGAGTGCATTAAAAAATACTGAATAACGTTTTTATGAAATGCTAAATATATTATTTTACTAATAAGATGTTCAATCTACTTGAATATTAAAAATTGAATAATGAAACAAAAAAATTGCATATTTATAATCGAACGTTATTTTTAGTAAATATACTCGATCATTTCTCAATTGCAGTAAAAACTGGATTTCCAGGAGCATTTTTCATTCATCGTATTATTGTAATATGATAAACTACATTAAATTTCATTCACCATTAATTTCAGTCTGAAGCTTATTAAAAAATTCGTATTTTAATGTTATATTATAGTTTCCACGAAATGGCCCTTTATGATCTCCCTACTACTATCGACTACATCTTAGGAATAACAAATCAGACATCACTTGTTTATATAGGACACTCAATGGGCTCTACAATGAGTATTGTGCTTTTATCTATGAAACCCGAATATAATAAAAAAATTCATCTTGTAATTAACATGGCTGGCATTTATACTTGGAAAGAGCCACGACCGACTATAAAATTTTTGCGAGACAACGGCCAACACATCAAGGTATAACATACAAATACATAAAAAATAAATAATATATGAATATATACAGTTTTTATTTGATTTAAAATCATTTTTATTTATATTAATATTGAATTTACCTGCTCCTTTATTTTAAATCATTATATCTCAAAGATTATAAAGCAGCGACGATCTACGAGCGTTAAGATTATTTTTCAATTTTATTATTTGCATAAAATCATACGAAACTGATAAAGTAGTTTGTACTGATAAAGTACAAAATTTATAAAGTCTTTAATTATTTTTAAGCCTAAATTTACTCTAATTTTATAACAATAGAAATATCCAAGCGAAAATTTCTCCTTAATAGCAGGCCCTTAAGAATTTTAATGATAAATTGCAAATAAAACATCCTTTTAAAACATATTTCCAGAAAATTCAATGTCAGTTGTAACAAGATAAATTATCCACTAGTAAATTTTAAAAAAAAAAAAAAGGAAATTGTTCACTTTTCCGCATCCCGTTACAACGCGGAATGCACTCGCATATATTCTGTTCTTGACTCAGCTATTTTACATAAGCTTCTATGCATATCCTTTTCGAGTTCTTTTATATTGCACACTTATAGGTCTATAACAACACATTAATGTTGAGGAGTTGATAAAAGAAGGAGGAAGGGAGTGATAAATATTATGCAATAAATGGCTTTTCAAAATTGACCGACTAAAATTAATAAAATAATTGATCGCACGCAAATAGAGGGACAATATCAATAAAAAAAAGTATTTTTTTGGTTTTGAGTGGTTAATTCGCTTGCTATTACAATTAATGTTTAATCGATTTCTTTCATTTTCTCTTTTCTACTTCTATAATTTGTCGCCTCTTCACGGGGCCTTTTCTTTTAAAATGTTATATATTTTTCTGACGCATATTCTAGGTGAATTATTTGTACATTGACTGGAGATAGTGGATTGGGGTAAAGACATATTAAGAAATATTATGAATTAAAAATTCAACAAGAATAGAAATTGAATTTATAGCTCATTTTTCATATCAGTAAAGAAATAAAAAAATTTTTAAACTTTACTTTTAGTATTTTAAAATTTAGCTTCAAAAGATTCGTCACTCATATTTTCAATAAAATTTAAATGCTAAGACCTCAGAAGTTTTCTTATTAAAAACATATTGAAATTTTATACATTAAAAGCATTTATTCTTGATAAAAAAGAATAAAATAATATATACTTTAATCATTTTTATATAATTTTATAATGTAATTATTTATATGATTTTATATATATTAGCCACAGATTATTTAAATTATATAATTACTTTGTATCCTTGAAAATTATAAATTTCTTTACTTGAATGAGTATTATAATTCCAGATAACAATCGAATAACTAAAACTCAATAAATGAATAATTTTTTATTTATAGATAGATATCTAATAATTGTAATGCATTACATTTATGAGGATAAAAATTTACTGAGTAAACAAATTTCATAAATAAATCAAATATAATGGAATATGACATACTAAAATATTTTTTATGAAATTTTTGCTTTAAATAGCTTTAATTATCATATCAGCTATACACATTTTTTTTTAAGTTTATTTTCGTATAATAAAAAAATATAAACAATTATTATTAAAATATATAATAAATTCATTTTAATAATGGGTACATGTATTACTCCTACATATAATATTTAGGTTCAATATGGTTAGTATATGTCGATATATAGCCCAAGTAATTTATACACTGATGTTTATATAACTAATACCTGCACTTAGCTAAGGGATAGCATGCATTCATAAACATAAAAGCTTCATAGTACAAAAAGCTGTTCTTACTATCCCTCTCTCTCTCTCCCTTTCTGTCTCTTTCTTAAGTACTTTAATAATAATATGCTTGGATAATATATTTTTAATAGAAACGTACGAGTCGTGTTTCAATGTTTTTAATACAATATTTACTAATAAATATAATATTACTTAATACATAATTCTTATCATAACTAAACAATAATAAATGTATAACATACACCTTATTTTTTCGGTAACCTAAACATGTACGTGCGTCTGTGCATACGATCATACATATCCGTGTGTAAATAAATCATTTATTATACAATAATACAAATTATTATAATACAGCAATGGCTATTACTGTAGTTGAATACAAATTCAAAGGTAATTCATGATACAGCACATAACGAGAAATAGAAGACTGTAATTACGAAATATTGTATAGAACATAAAAGGAAATGTAAAGCAAAATTTTTTTATTAGGATACTACATATTTTAGGTATACGATTTGTTACGAAAATATAGGCATACGTATGCCCACATATGCGCACATATGTTTCGAAATTACGATAATCGAAATATCCAGAAAAGAAATTTAAATTTATATAAAATATATATTCTGAAAAATTTTGTAAAATCAAACGATGGAGAAATTTGGACCTTAATACATAGTATCTTTAGAAAAAATTTATATAAAAGAAAATGTTTATATAGAATATTTTCTTAATGACTCATAATTTTTTCTTTATAGAGAGTGATAGTATTTTTTGGAATCAATGAACTATTCCCACATAGAATAATTCGTAGATACTTTTCAAATAGTACATATTGCGAGGAAAGATTTTTTCAATCTGCATGTTTAAACATAGCCCTGTTAATAAATGGCTATAATTCTGATTTAGATTTGGTAAGTAAATGAAGACAAATACTTATATAATATTTTCAGTATTTTAAAATGTTATGTATCGTAAATTAAAATTATAATCCTTCAACTTATTTAAATCTTCATCATATTTTATATCTTCAAATTTGTATTACATTAAACGGAGATATTTCGCATGTAATTGAAAATAGCTTTTTTTTTTTTTTAATAAATTATAACTTGATTTTGCAGAATTTATTTTCAAAATCATTTCCTCACTTCCCTGCTGGAATTTCAAGAAAGACCGCTATTCACTTCCATCAAAACATGTTAGCAGGTAAAAAAATAATATACTTCTTAATAACATTTTTACAATTTCAGCCGAAGAAAATAATTTTCAATAACGTAACAGTGTAACTTATATCTTAATAATTCTCTATCTATTAGTTTAATATTATGCTAATAAAAAAGATATTTGTGTTAACTCTGCAATTGTTAAGAATTTCATAAAATTAAATATCTATTTGAAATTGACAGGTAAACTTCAGATGTTCGATTATGGTTATATTGACAATATGGCTTACTATGGTTCGATGTTTCCTCCAGCGTATAATATCGAAAATGTTTTGACACGCGTTGTTATGATATATGGAAAAAAAGATACACTAGCATCTCCAGAGGTAAAGACCTTATGTTTTATTACATTTTATTAAAATGTATATTTTATTTTGGCATTTCAGAAATCAATATATATTTTTAAATTCTTTTATATTGAAAGATATAATTGTGCAATAAAATGAAAAATTTTCTTGTTTAATCCCGGATGATTTAACGTTTTGTAGTGTTTTAATTTAATTTTAATTTTCTTATAATCTACTTTTTACAGAAATTTTAAAAAGCTTAATTTGGTTAAGAAGAATAGCGTTGTTGAAACTTAATAGAAGACTTGATGTTGCTAAGAAGATATTGATCTATTGCATGTTTATAGTTCTAAATCATAGACGTATAAACCTTTTCATTCTGATTTTTATAAATTTTTACGTATCCATATATATTTCAAATCCATTTAATTACATGAATAATTTTATTGATTGATTTGAATAGATTGATTATCGTGATTGTTTGAAAATTGTTTAATGCAATGAAGTGAGAATTGTGAAGTTTTTTTTTCTTTCTCGAACTACATATCATATAGCGCTTATTACTACTTTAATATATATAAAGAATGCGAATAAATAAATATATACATGAATATTTTAAATTTATTTCACCAATTAATTAATTTTCTGCAGGATTCAATCGATTTATCCAGCAAGCTTAAAAATTCTTGGGTTGAAACTGTGCCCTTTGAAAATTTTTCTCATATAGATTATATCTGGGGTAAAAATATGAAAAGATTGATTCACGATCGAATTTTACAAATTATTGTGAACAATTGAATTTTTTTACTTATTTCGATTTGTATTATTTAAACAAATATGTACATAATGTAAAATTAGTAATATTATCTTAATAAATATATTACTTAAAAATACCATTATGTTTACTTATATTTATTATAAAATGTTAAATGTCTTAAAAATATATATAAGAAAATGAGAACAAAAATACTACGTTGTCTAATATTTAAAATAATACTTTATATAAAACACACAATTCACTTAGTTTTATATATATATATTAAATAATTAAAATAAACAAATTGTTCTTTTGTATATTGTAATTTTTTTATAAAATTTGAAGTGTTATATATATATATATATATATATATATATATAGATGATTCCTTATTTAAATAACTAAAATAAAATAATAAAATATAAGAATTGTAAATTTTAAAATTAATATAAAAAACCTTTTAATATTTTATTTTACTTCTATCTAAGAAATTGTCTACATAAATTATCAAGTACAAAGAAGAATAATAACAACGAAAATAATATTTTAGCTGGTAAAATATTGTATAATTAAGCTACATCTGATACTAATTAGTCAAATATATTGAATACTTTATGTTATATGTATTATGTTATTATACGCGTAACCATTGACATTGTATTAATTTACTATTAATATTTAATATTTATTAACATTATTAACATTAATATTAACAATTGTATTAATTTAATATTAATGTAATAATTGTACATTGAATTAACTTATTACTTCGATGATTAATAATCGATTGATTGGTGTATATAGTATACGTAATTGAATGTATTGTACTTCCAAAGATAAATACTACCTGTAATTGTAAACTGTAGGATTCTAATGAGCTTTGAATATCCGATACGCTTCAAATATCGGAATTCTAAGGGAACCAAAGCTTTGTCAAATTCTCATTAAGTATATGGGCACATTTCGAAATATACAATATTTCATTTACTAATTATACGAATATTAATAATTTATTTGTAATTTTGAAAATTTTTTATATCGTCTCCTTTTTCGAAGATTTGATTTTCTAGAAACAATATAAATTTAATTCAAAAATCCATAATTTTTATTAAATAATTTTCCAAATTCTTTTGTTTTAAATTTGCAATTAATTTACAAAAACACTTTATATATACAAAAATTGTTATTAAGAAAGTCATTAAGAAATATAAAAAATAATTGTATTTCTTGACTGTATAAATCTTGGTTATGCTTACGTAATTTAAATTTTTTTGGACTTGTAAATCAAATAATATAATATCAGATTCTTATTTAATTTATTAAATATAATTCTGAAATAATTAATATATAATTGTTATTAATAAAAAAAATTTAAAAGCTTTTAAAAAGCATAAGAAGCTGCTTTATTAAAAAGTTCAATAAGCCAAAATATCTACTATACATATTCATTAAAATATATTTCATAAAATTATGTATACAGATTTATATAAGAAAGCAAAAGTGTTCAGATATAACCGTAGAATACAAATAATGCGTATTTTTACTAGATTAAAAATCAAATATATTAATATTAATCTTAATAATAATTGATAGGCATACTATGATATTTTAAAATTATGATCAAATATCAACTTAATGTGTATTCACAACGTTAAAAAAAAAATTAAATTTTTTAAATTTTCTATCATTGACTTAGTGTGTTACTTGACTCTGCAACTAAGTTATTCGATTTTTCAAAATACTTTTGTTTATATTTTTTATTATATAATGGATTATTTAAAATAGATTTTATAAGGCATCTGTTCGAAATTGGAGCATTTTCCAAGAACGTAGTCAATTACAATTTCGAACATCTGATCCTTCCAGCCCGATTAGTGCAACGGCTCAGTGCAACTTTCAAACAGCATCTTTATTTTTTATTTGAAATAAATTAAAATATAATAATATACGGAAACCGTAAAATAAAGTAGTAACTTCTTATTAACATACAAGTGTATTTGTCGTATTTTTTTTTTTTAATATTTTTTTGGAATTTTAATATAATAAAATAATTATTTTATATTTAATATTTCTTTGTTGAATTTATATTATTTTATTTAATCATAATACTTTTAAAATCTTCTTTTTGACCCTAAATAGTATGCATCATGTATACCTTAACTTATTTTGATTTTAAATGAAAACAAATATATTATGATAAATAAAACAATTGTTAATATTTCCATAATATAAACAATAATTATTTTACTTAAATAATTTTAACTTACTTCATTTATTATGTATTGTTTAATAAAAATATTTTTTGTCAAAAAAATGTTTCATCTAATTAAAAACTAAAGTATATATCGTCTTTGTTGTTATACCATGTTTTAAATATATTTTAAAAATTTATATGGAAACTAATGTATTTAATTGTTATTCTCTTTGAATGCTGTATAATAATTTTTATAACATATTTGTTATTTGTAACTGTTCCAAATATTTTCGTATATTATAACATTTAAAATATCTGAGGTTTATTGCTGGAGTATGAAAGCCAAGTCAAAGTCGATTATTTAACAAAAGTGGCTAGGGAATAAATTCTGAACAAGTAGATATTCAATGAAGTTTTATAATCAATGTAATACATACTCAAATGAAAACTAGCAATGAATAATTATTAAAGTTTTCGAGAATCCCGTATAAATATCAGCGCTATAAAATAAAACAAATGCACTGTTACTAAATAATTTAACTTATTTCATTTTTCTTCTTTCTTGCTTATTCTCCAAAGGTGAGTAAATATAGTTAGTTTTATTCATTTCATATTTTACTTTCTTATCTCCTTCCACGAGAAAGCTCGGAAGCAATGCTATTGTTTCGGAGTGAACACAATTTGTGGATCCCATATTTTTATAAATAACAATATTTATTCTTGTTCTACAATTTGTTATCTTTTATATTTGATAAATAGTTTATTTCTAAATTTATTGTATGAAAGTTTACCGACTCTTATTGTTCGATTTTATAGTTTTAGTTTATGGCTCCAACTACCAATTCAATAGTTCAGTGGATTAGTCTCTCGGCAGGATAACTTCAAAGGAAATAATAAATAAAAAGGCTGAAAAATATTATGTATTTAGTAAAACAAGGTTTATTATTTGTAAAAGATTATAATAATATTGCACTTTGATGTAGAGAGAAATAATTCTATTGAAGTAGTGAGGGTGTATTCTTGTATTCTTGATTATTCTAGCTTCCATGGATATGACTGTCTTGAAGTTGAGGTAATGCTGATGTAAATATCAGCTGGTGTAGTCAATCAATCATGCTTGTGAGGCAGCATGAGAAGATGGTAGTTAAATCAAGTACGCTTGATGCATGAATAACTATATTTGATATGATGTAAGATGTTTAATTTTTGTTATATAAATAAGCTACACTAGTTTCTAATAACTGAAGTTGAATTTAACATTTCATCTTTTTTGTAGTAGATTTGTTTCACTTGGGATGTCATCAATATTTCATACAAACTACTCATCTATCATTATCAATAAATGTACATCTATGAAAACAATTATCAATCTAATGATTTTATCCTGAATTTCAAGCTAGATATCTAATCAATAATAGTACTTTAAGTTGACACAATTAAACTCATCATGTATTAGCTCATTAGTAACTCCAATTTTTAAGAATTAATTATTAGATACAATAACCTATTCGATTTAAGATTAGTATTCTAATAAGTAACTAATTTTATTTAAATTTGGCTATAAAATGGAATTACAATATCGATTTGATAAATAATTTTTTTTTTGTTCTATAATTTGTAATATTGAAGTAGAATTTTATAATTAAGACCAAGAGATTTTTAAAAATTTTCAATTCTAGATTTTATATTTTATTAATATTCGATATTTGTATTAGTCAGAATAAAGTTTTTTATATTCTTTTTGTTTTATGTTAATAATTCCATTAAGACATTACTTTAATGTTTTACCATTAGTTAGTATTTATAATAAATTATCACATGTCATGGCATCAGCATGCAAAATGCTTCTAATTTATTATATAGGGTATGTTCGTTTATATAACTTCCACTCACATAAACATTTATATGCGTATATTATAAAATTTTTACATTATATAGTATAATATAATATAATATACTGGAATTATAATTTTTTATTATTTACGTATTTGAAATTTGTTTTAATGAGTAGAATATTCTTTTTTGTTGAAAATTGAGTGAATTGTTATTGCAGAAATAACATTAAATTTACTATTTTTATTGCACAAATTTTTTAATTTTAAATCGTCAAGAGCTTCACTCTAATTCATTACAGTCACAGTTTATAAGCTTTGAAATAAGATTGAGCTTAAATTTGCCCTTAGAATAATTATAAAATGAAAAATGAAAACTAGTATGTTATAAAAAAAAATTATTCAAAATGTTAAGAAAAGTTTTTAAAGTTGATTTAGATTTTATTATATACATTGTTCTGGAAATTTGTTCATTCACTTAGTTCATGAATGCACGTATATACAAACGTTATATTATCTATAAGGATTAACTAAGGCAACGCGAATTAGTCGTACCATATTCTTAGAACATAACTGTAAACCATATCATTATTTACGTACTCGGAATTTTATCAACCGAAGATTAATTACGTATTCATGTTTTTAAATGGAATATTTAACTAACTAAACAAACTATTTATCAAATAATTTATCATGCTAAATTTTTAATTTATAAATATTCGTAATTAACATAAAGAGATATAGCAGAATATTGTCATTAGGCACGCGATAAAAAGCTGCCTTTGGGTACATTTTATTTTGTCATATATTTATTTTGTCAGTCGATTTACGTATGATTTTACCAAAAGTCATATTTGTTAATTTACTATAACCTAATAGTTAAAATAAAATTTAAAGATATGCTATTAGCATATTAATTTAATGTATTTTATTTTTTATTAAAAAATTTTTATCAAAATTTCAATATTCATTATGGTCATTTATTTTATTTATATATTGATTTTTTAAAACGTTT